TCTGGAAAACCTTCTGTTTTGTTTTGCTTATAAAGAAATTGAAGCCCAGAAAGCATAAGGGATCTGCCAAGGTCTCCCAGCCAGAAAACAGCAGAGCTGAGACTTGAACCATCTGCATTTTTCCAGTGCCAGGTCCTAGAGAACTTTTCCCACTATGTCTGCTCTACTGTGACATGAGCAAGTCACTTAGCCTCTTGAATCCTCAATTACTTTGCCTACAACAAGAGAGGATCAGTGGGTGTATCAGTTAGCTTTTACTCTGTAAGAGACTGTCCAAAACAGCAGGTTTTGACAGTTTCCTGATTCTGTAGAGTGTCTTGGTGGCTGTTCAGGTCAAAACTGGCTCGGCAGATTTCTACTGGACTTTCTCATGCTTCTGTGATCAGCTAGTGGGTCTAGGATGATCTAGTAGAGCTTCACTGATAGTTCTTGTGGTTGGTAGACCATTGATTGGCTGGAGATTGACGGCTCATCAAGTGGGGCGCCTTCATTTTCCTCCATAAGGCATTTCATCCTCCATCAGTCTTGTACACCTGGTGCTCTCAGGGTTCCAAGCATAAAAAGAGAGGAACTCCACTGAGCATACTCTTTGGAAATCCTTGTGATGCCAAGTTTTCTATTCCCTCCTTGGCTAAAGCGACTCACATGATGCGGTTCCCAATAATTCCTGCCTCCTGATATTCATGTCTTTGTGTAATCTCCTTCCCCTGTATGAGGCATAGACCTCAGGACTTGCTGCTAACGAATAGAATTCGGTACAACTGATGGGATATCACTTCTAAGATTAGGTTATAAAAGACCGTGACACTCTGAGTCTTTCTGTGTGCTTGCGCCGGTAAAGCAAGCTGCCATGTGTGAACTGCCCCATTGAGAGGTCCATGTGACAAGGAACTGAGAGAACTCTCTAGCCAATAACCAGTGAGGAACTGAGACCCTCAGCCCAACAGTTCCATTCTGCCAACAAACAGTGAGTGAGTGAACTTGGAAGCAGACCCAACCCCAGTTGAACCTCTTAGGTGACAGTGCAACCATGCTCCACACCTTCATTGCGTTCTTGTGAGAAACTTGGAAGCAGAGGACCTACCCAAGTTATGCCTGGGTTCCTGACCCATAGGAACGGAGTTGTTTTAACTTAGTAGTGACTTGTTATATAGCAATAGATAACTAATACCCATAGTTAAGTTCAGAGTCAGTGGGGGAGTATCCAAGGGTGTGGTTATAGGAAGAGTAATTATACAAATTATTCACACATATTTGCAAACAATTTACTATAGGTGGACTTTTTCCAGCCTTTGGGAGTCTGAGATGGAATAATTTTCACTACTTCAACAATTATTTATTCTCTGTGCTTAGAACTGGGAACGAGATGGTGAACAAGACAGAGGCCATGTTCTTGCCCTCAAGGAGCTTACAGTTTGTGGCAGGGGAGGGGAAGAATGAGGAAAGATATTAGTTCAATAATTCCTTCTTTCATTATTTGTTTAAAGTTACATGAAGGGAGAATGTATATAAGAGTCTAGGTTGGTCAGAGAAAGCTTCTTTGAGGAAGTGGCACATAAACTGAAGAGGCAGGCAGGACAGGAAGAGAAGGAAAGAGGAAAATTCCAGACAGAAGGGTAGCATTCTTAAAGGGGAAGTGGAGAGGTGGTCAGCACCAATGGGACAAGTACCTGTATATGATCAAAGTGTATCTTATCATGTAATAATGATGTTGTGGGTTATGGTTTTAGGGATAAACGCAAAAATATTTATGGATGAAATTATTTGATGTCTGGGATTTGCTTCAAAATAATCCAGTGGCAAGGTGGGGGTACGAGTGGGTGGAGCTATAAAGGAAACAAGAATGAGTTAATCATTATTGAAACCAGGCAATGGGATCAAGAAGGTTAATTATACTAGCATCTCTACTTTTGTATATATTTTCCATACTAATACTTTAAAAACTTGCATCCTGACAGCACATCTTGAAGTCTGTAAGTATATATGTTTAGAGGTCAAAGGACATTTATTTCCTCCAGCTCCACTGCAGACAGTAGAGGTTAATAGTATCTTTAGGGCAAGGGGATGGAATGAGTTTTATGTTATAGAAAATGTAGAGGCTTCTCAGCTTCAGATCATGTGGCTAACATAAAATAGGGAATTTGGGTAATTTACCTTGCCTCCTGGTTAAAGTGCTATATTGCATTATTTCTCACGCTCATTTTTCACTAGCTGAGATGGTATGGTTTCATATATAGTAGAATCTTCTACCATGTTTCACCCTAGAGTAGAAGGCAGGGGAAGGATTCTGTTTAAATATCAGCAAAATGCTGTAAAGATTCTGTTATAAGGCCTTACATAATATGGGTGGTATTAGAGTGCTTATGGGTTGGGGAAGGAGAGATATAGGGTAGAAGAGATGGGAATCCCCCTTTGTTCAAAAAATTCTGGGTTGGCTTACTACAGCAATAATGGATTATGGATTTATTTGATGAAGTTTTCCTTTTTTTTGAAGATTTTATTTATTTATTTGTCAGAGAGAGACAGAGCGAGAGAGGGAACACAAGCAGGGGGAGTGGGAGAGGGAGAAGCAGGCTTCCCGCTGAGCAGGGAGCCCGATGCAGGCCTCGATCC